TGTTTTTCCCAGTTTTACGTCCGTCCGCGGATCTGCTTTTTTTTTCTGTCTGCCAGCACAGCACTGATGTGGTTTTTTGAGGAAAAACGTCCAAAACGTACGAAATAGTGTGCATAACTTTTCGTACGATTTCATACGAACTGATAATGAGAATAGGTTGACATGATTGACTCTGTGTTCATTTGTGCAAACTCAGTTTTGTTCCCTCATTTGAGGCTTTTTATGCAATAAACCCCAATATGTTCTTAGTTTATTGGACCCACATTAAAGAGAAACACAAGGAAATACCTATTCCGAGAGATTCTGAAACTTGTCATACTTTTTAGGTTTCCCAAGTTCTGTTGACAAGGAGTAAGGAGTCAGATGCTCATTAAAGGATGATTAAAGGTTTTACATGGACAGGTGGACTCAGCTTTCCTGATAGTGTTGCCTCCCATGACAATCTATGGTGCATATTTTAGTGCTTTCAAAATCATGTTGCACGCTCTTCTGCATGGCCATTATTAAACAGCTGTTGCATCACATAACATGATAGTGTCTTCATTCTGAATGTAGAGTACCTTCATGTATTATTTACATTTTCTGCAATGCCATTATGATTTTCTCAACTATATGCTCTTTCTAAAAGCGAATAGTCTTTAAACAACTAATAGAGCGGTTCTCAGCAGTTTGTTTTTTGTTTAGCCCAAATTTCACAGCAATTTTCAAATCTTTTGAATTGGGGTTTGTGTTTGAAAGGTAAATGTATTGTTATGTGGTGCAGTGACAAAACTGGAAAAATAAGATGCTCACATGGTCACATCATGAAGCTGTATGTTTGCTAAATGGACAAGTAGATAATAGTAGAATTCTGCTGTAAAGACGTTTAGTTGTATGATTGGAACATTATAAGTGTGTTATTTTTGGTAGGAAAAATGAAATAAATTTAGGTGGAACTGCTTAAAGTAGGCTGGGATCTAAATACTGTCAAGGCTCAGAATAGCAGACCCAGTATTCAAGGCAGAAAGACAGTCAGATATCCTTAAAGCGTTTATTTAAAAACGACGGATTTAAATTAACAGTGAGGACGTCTAAGGCAGGAACCTCTGGTTCTTTAGTTCAGTCCATGCTCAGAGAACAAGGTTGATTCCAGCCAGCTAACAAGATGGGACAGGTGCCACCCTAGAATGTCCCACATTCCGCAACCCTGGAGGATGGAAAACCAGATCTGAGCAAACAAAGGAAGGCAGGATAATCCCGAGCACGAAGCCAAAGCCTGGGTTGAGGACGTGTTCAGGATTCAGAACCAGGAAAACAGAGATACAAAGAGGTTCCGAATAAAGAAAGGTGTCAGGAATCAGTTCCAACTTCAGTTAACAGATAGAGTCCAGCAGGAGTCCGAAGACAGGTCAGGCCAACAGATCAGGCGGGAACAAGCAGACTCAGTGGTTGAGAGGCAGAAACGGGTCAGGATCAGGTAACCAGAAACACTGGAGACACGGGAGGACAGGAGAGGACAGGAGAGGAAAGGAGAGGAGTTTATATATTGGCATAAAAACCACCACTTGAAAACAAGACTGTATTCAGAAAGAATAAAAATAGTAGCGATGAAAACAACTTATTGAGTTCTGTGTGGAGCAGTGAATGTTATAAAGGCATACAGCACCTGGATGGAAAGATCTGCGATAAGGCTCCTTTGTGCACTTATGGTGCAGCAGTGTTTCACTGCAACAGTTTCCTGCATGAAATGGGAGGCATTGTCCAGCATTGATGAAAGGTTTGATGCAGTGCTTTGGTCTCCTTGGTCCGAAGCACATCCTAGAACTGAGTTGAACTTCCTGATGAGCTCATATAACCACCTCTTCTCAGCTAAAGCTATACCCTTCTGCTTCAACGTACTGCACTGTAGAAGATCCCATTGCAAAGTCATGGAAAGTCCTTAAGCCCCTTCCATTACTCTCTAAAAGATTTCAGTCTCCTCTACCTTGACCATTCCTCTTAAAGAGCATCAGTGTTTTTACTTCAGCCTAGATTATTCTCCCGGTGAAACCCAGATACTTAGAAAATACCTCTTTCACAATAATATTTCCTTGCTGGATAATTGCCAGTGTTTGGTGTTTGGTTTGTGTTTGCAGCTGCAGACTAAATAATTTTCTTGAGACCGTTAGAATAAGGCAAAATCAAAAAGTGTCCACAATGCCCACCTTCTGCTCCAAAAGAAAATTTCAGGTTTTTTATCTACTGAATGTAGAATGAAATGTAGCTCCTGAATATTTTTTAGGATTCTCTCAGAGATCTTCTATCTTAGCCTTAAAGTTCCTTCCTAGAATTTGTAGCTCAAAGATTTATGGTTCACCCCATAAAGTTTACACACCATCATTAAACTACTTTATCTTTATTAATTTGCATTCACCTGTAGGAATTTTACTGTTGCTCTCTGTTTGTATGAAGTGGTTTTATGTATAAACTGGAGAAAAAATGATAAAAAAAAACTGTAGTGGATAGAGCTGCAGCTCCTCTTTTTGTACAGGTTAGAGGAGAAGAGAGATGGGGTGAAAGGTATACTGGTCCCTGGATTATGATACATTACTTACAGGTGGATAACTGAGTCCTTTATTCTGCACCAGCCTGGAAAGTGAAACGTTTTACATGCACCAATCAAAAGCAGGAGAAGAAATGACAAAAATTCAAGAATATCTAGATGAACATTTAGGATATGCAATACAGCAAATACTTTGCCTTTTTTAATCTCTCTAGGTATGTTTTCTAGAAAATATTGAACTTTCTTGTCTAGATTATTATTCATATATATATATTTTTTTTTTGTTGTTGCATTTTTTAAAAGGTTTTAAACTTTTCCCTGTAATTTATTGTTTGTAGAATGGTTTCCGTGCAATAGAGCGCACCTCACTATAGGCCGCAATGGAAATGTACATTTTTATAAATAGTAATGCTAAATTTACTGATAATGAAGGTGAAAGATTCCTCTTAACGAGGTTAGCCTGCACATGTACTAATGGACAAATAAAGCAATAAGTCAGTAAATAAGTAGGAGTAGGAGCTAAGATATTTATTCTGATGCATTTTCCTGATGGTTAGATTCATTTTATTTCTTTATCAGATGGATTGATGGTCCAGAATACAATAACTTTAACATTGCTGACACCTAGTGGTCAGAAATAATTGACACCTGCTCGCTCTCTTCATAGACAGAAATCTCATCATTTCTGGCCCAATCATTTATTTGAGCTGGGTTTTGTTTGTTTGTTTTTTGTTGTTGTTTTTGGGGAACATTTTCCTGGTGAAACACTCAATGATTCAAACTGCCGCCCTAGATGGAAGAAAATAGTTTTAAATGATCTAGAGCCACCTACATGCATTTTATAAAATGCATGAATTAAACCTTTATTATTTTTAAGTTTATCTTGTAAAAAAGGAAAATGAATTTATTTTCTATAATTGTTTTTTTTTATGAATTAAAATTAGAATAAATTCCAAGCATTCCTGAGTATTGCATCTAATACTACACATTTTCTTTATATTTCAAAATAACATGAAGTATTTGTAAAATACTGCCTATGAAAGCACCAGAAATATACTGAATAATGGAGAATGCCACCTTTAGGATTCCCCAATGGTTGGATAGGACTTGCTTTTATCAGTTAACCATACTAAGGCTGCAGGATGGACCACAAATAATATTCTGATATTTTTAAACTGAATGGTAATATACAGCATTATTCTAGACACGTTTTCATCTGCATAAAATAATAACAAAAAGACATCTCTAAATAAAAGCTTTGTCCTAAATATAAATAATATATCAATGCATTTAAATTATGCATGTAATGTATGCATATAGATGTAGATTTATATCCTAAAAAATTGATAACATCTTTAGAATCTCTATATATTGCCCAGCTTTACTGTTGCTTATCTGTCTTAGTTCCACTTTTGGAGAGGCTTATTTTTATCAGTCTACAGGGGTTGCTTTCACTATGTACATACAGGATGTTAAGAAACTTCACATGTAGATATTTGGCATAAACTTTCGGTGTTGATGATGAGTTATGATTAATAAAGGAAAATTCGTTGTTTTGAACCTTTTTGACTTATTTCTCATGTTGCTGCAAAGGGTTTCCTGCAAACACAATATAAAATGATCAATAGAATAAACCCAAAAAGCAAAAATATTACTCAAATATCAATAGGAAAGTTTTTCTTATTTTAATGGCTATGAAACATCAAGAGAAATTAGCTTATGTTTATAAACTTTAAGATTTTCAACTCAAAGCCTCAGGCTGAGATTGAACCCCTAATCTCCACAGCAGTTAGTCTCACTACGTACCCCACACGACTAATAAGTCCAATTGGAGACTTTTTTAACAGACCAATAAGAAATATTATGTTTTTTTTTTTTATAGAATTAGATTTAAGAAATTAATTTTAATATCACTTGTTTTTTCTTCTTCTGAAGAGTTCAACAAATCAGTTATTTCCTGCCACATGTACACTTTGAATTTGCCAAAATCTTTGGGTAGATTATTTTAGATCTTTTTATGTTGCATTTGCTGCAGCTAACAAAAAGGAAGGCTTATAATCTAATTAATTTGCTGCTAAATAATTTTCACAGATTGTATTTATCCTTTACTAACACCATTTCTTGGAGTGAAAGGCTTCAACAACAGTTTTGACCTGCCTGCAGTGATGCTGTGGGAAGATGCCCAGTTTTGGCTGAAGTAAGAGTTTTTGTGGATTAGATTATAAATTATTCAACAGGCCATTTATTCATTGGGGCAGAGGTCAGGGTTCAAGAGCAGGATATTGCTGCATGAACTGTTTTGAACAATAAATCTATTTACAGCTCTAATGGAGTCATAAAAAACCATAAAGAATCGTGGTGGTGAGGCCTTTCATTGAAATCACTGTAAATTTATGACATTTCTACATCCGGATAAAAAAATAATTGGTAATCCTTTTGCAGCAACTACTCTATCTTAACGTTTTTTTTTTTCTTTTAGGGCTCTAAAGCTCTGCGGTTCTGGAGGACCTCCTCATGTGAAGCTCATCATTGAGTGGGAACACAGAGTCAAAGACTGGTCAGTGTGTTTAACCTTCACGTCTCTTTAAAACTTCTTGTGGAATCAGTTTGCACCTTTTCTTTGACTGTTTTGTTGTTGTTGTTGTTGTTGGGGTACCAGCCTGTTCGGTAACATTCACGAGGAAGTGGTGAAGGATGCAGACAGCGTACGAAATCTGCAGCAGCAGCACGTCCAACAGTTCAGCTGCACATTGGATGAGTGCTTCCAGCTCTACACCAAAGAGGAACAGGTACCGTCTGCTGGTATCTTAGACCTGGGGGGTGCAACCTGCGCCTCCAGAGCCACGCATGGCTCTTTGGGCCATCCATAATGGCTCCTTATAGTGGCTACAAATAATGAAGAACCAACTTTAGCTTAATGCATTTTTTTAGTTTAAATTTCCCAACAATAGAACAACCAATAAAATGTTTGTAGATTTGATTTTTGAAAATTTGAAAAATGCTTTTCTTTGGCATAATTTTCCAATAATATAATAATGATGACTAATAATTTTACACCAATGGGTAGTTGGTTACCATGGCGGCGCTCCAACGCAGCGGCCAAGAGCAGCTTCTCTTCACAGTTTCACTAAATATGTCTGTCTGTCTAATATAAACATCCTGTAGGAGAAAATCAATGAATTTTATGTAGTGATGGGCATGGATAATTTTTTTTTATCTAGATTAATCTCACTGTAATCTTGGAATGAATCTAGATTTATCTAGATTAAAATCACTCATTTGAATTTTGCCAAAGAAATTCATGATACATGTGCTACCTAAATAATAACTGAAAGAAATTTAACACCTGCTCAATACATTTTCCCTGAAGCAAACCCAGCATCTTTATACAGTAGATGCATCCATATTTAACATGATCTTAGACGCAAGCAGAGTTTCAGGGTCAGACATCATTAATGATCACACACAAGATCCCTTCACTTCTAAAAAACTTCATCATCAAACATCCTTCTTTACCACAATCCTTTTACAAAAATGAAAAACTTTGCTTTCTGTAGTGATCAATTGTTTCTCTGAAGCACAGCGGCACTGTCATTGATAAACTCAATCAGCTGATTTTACTCACGGCCCACTGCCTGCTTTCTTTGTTCATCTGTAAGTGATCGGCTGGATCCCCCATCCTTGGGCTTTTCTTCAAGTCATCAGTGAAGTCTTTCTACTTGTTAAACCAACAACATAAGTTCCCAAAAATCAAAAATTTGCCTGAGTAGTTTTTAGGAGGAGGTTTTTGACCCACTCAAAAATAAAAAGCACTCGCTGAGTTTTCTGGTTCCAGAAGGTATTTTCTTTACTTATAAAAATAACAGAAATAATCTCCAAGTTGACTTACAAAATATTTAAATATAAACGTTAATTGATTTTAGAAAAACTGTTTCACTCTCACTACTTCAGCAAAGAATCAGATCAACCACAGCAGGAGGCGGCTGGACTAGGAAAAGGGCCAAATAAGATCAATAAATAAATAACAATAGATCTTTCATATAACCTTAGATCTGTAAAATTAATGATTTAGCAAAAAGGAAATTAATCTAATTCTTAAGAGGCTCCAATAGCGCGTCAATTTTAACATTTTACAGTATGCCTACACAGGTTGGAAGATTGATTAGTTCTCGACCCCAGATATACATCCGTGCTAAAATCTCAAGGTGAAAGTCCTAACCCAACTGTAAGAATAGAATAACTACTTTTATCGCCTTATAAGAGTCTGGCATTAATGCAGCACATTAACGCCATTAACGGCACACCACTAATTTAGTTTTTCCTCATTGCAAAACCTAAAAATACAAATAAATGGCAACAGCCTTTGGATGTTTAACTTGTATAAGAACATCCGTTTTATTAGACCGTATTGTAATATTTGCAACTCTAGACCACTTTTATTTAGCTTTACTTAGAGCGAAATGGTTATTTGGATGTCAAAGGTTGCATACCCGTCTTAGTCGCTTGTTAGCTGAAACGGAAGCACACTTGCCTCCTTATGCTATTGAAGTGAAATAACATAAAAAAGCACTTAAAGCCACCCTTTTATTTGCTGCTTAACAGACAGAGGGCTGCGCACACTCCTGTGGATTCAAGTAATAGGCTGCTTCTATTTCCAGTCAGCAGACTGGGCATCAAAACTAGAAATCGAAAATTATCAATTTAAATGTTTCTGTGAGAGTCAAAAAGTTAGACCCGATTTTGATTACTTATTGATTCTTGATGCCTGAGCCTACCAGACGGACAGAGGATCAGTCACAGAGGCAGCCAAGCAGTCCATGCTAATTCTGCAAAGATCCACAGTTTAAACTAGAAAATCTAGGTTTTCACTTACATGTTTCTCTGACCTCTTAAAACCCACCAGGGTCGCCGGCGACCAGATGGACCTTAAGTGGGGGTAATAATTCAGAATGCATAAAATTCCACCGGTAAACTTTTTACTAGCAGCTCCAAGCTTACACCAAAAGTTCCATACCCCACAGCTGTTGAACTGTTATAGCTGGAGGTCTGAAATGTTCTGCATTTGTGGTTGACATGATGTAGAAAAAATATAATACATTACAACCTGCCTTTTCTCAAGAATATCTTTATTACTGCTGTTCAAAAAAGACCTATCATTTCCAAGAATAAAAAACACAATGACTTTGCTCCATGTTTAAACTGCTGCAGGTTGGTCTGTGTTCTAGTCACCCAATTTTAACTTATATATTAGAAAACTAGAGGGTGTTAGTTTTCAAATAATATATTTCGCATGTAATTTGGGCTTACAGTTCCTAAGTTATTTGCTTTTCCATTTGGGTATGCCAAATAGGCGAGGATTACCCAAAATGAGGTGGATGTTAAGAGGTTAAGCCAGGGTTTCTTAACCCTGGTCCTCAGGGCCTACTGTCCTACATGTTTATGTGTTTCACTACCTCTACACTCCTGACCTGAATGAAAAGGTGAGCATAGAGACGCATCCAAAACATGAAGGACCTTGGGCCCTGAGGACCAGAGTTAAGAAACCCCTCTTAAAGCCATTTAAAGAGACAGCAAAAAATGTCTGCAGGAATACCAGAATGGACTGAAAACTAACTCTAATAATCACCCTGAAGACGGTGGGGGCAGCATCCTGTTAGGGGATTTTTTTTCTTCTCCCGAAGGTAATGGGATGCAGGTCAGTTGGTGGGAAGATGACTGGAGCTCAATCTGAGGGAAACCTGGAAGGAAAATATGTTCCTTCCTGAGACAACTATGTTCACATGTCAGAATGGCCCAGTCAAAGTCCACACCTAAAAGGAACCATAGAATTTGTAGGAAATCATTAAAAAAATGTCTGTTCATGAATGCTATATGATGGAGCTTGAATTATTTTGCATTTAAAAAATTAGCAAAAACTGTAGATGTTTAAAGGAGAAGACTTGAAACAATTAAATTATCCACAGGTTTGGACTAAAAAGGGATACATCTTTTAGGATAAGCCATGGTCTTTAGATTTTCCTTTACAGAAATGTTGGAAACCATGTGTGTCGTTTTCCTTCCACTTCACAGTTTTATCCTACCCTTGAATGACTTGTCTGATGAAATAACAGTAAAAACCATAGACTCATTTGGTAGCATTACTAAATTAAAAGGAATCACATCTACCAAGTACTTAGATCCTAAAAAAATCTCTTTTCTTTGTTCTCTTCTCCATATTCTCCTTGTATTTTGCCTCCAGCTCGCCCCAGATGATGCCTGGAAGTGCCCCCACTGCAAGCAGCTGCAGCAGGGCATGGTGAAGATGAGTCTGTGGACCCTGCCCGACATCCTCATCCTCCACCTGAAGCGCTTCCGGCAGGTAGGCGAGCGGAGAGACAAGCTCACCACGTTTGTGCATTTTCCCCTGGCCGGACTGGACATGACGCCTCACATGGTGAACCGCAACAACGGCCCCCAACAACCCCCTCTGCGACAAGGATGGAAACACAGCAGGCGGCCGGACCTGGCTCCCCCTGACTTCCTGTATGATCTGTACGCAGTCTGCAACCATCATGGAGGAATGCACGGTGGCCATTACACAGGTCTGTATTCCCTCCTCACATGAAGTTTACTCTTCCTTTGACCTGCCTCTTCTGTTTAGAAAAAAGGTTATATGTATCGATTTCACATGTTGTTTCAATTGCAGCCTTTTGTCGAAACTCAGTAGACGGTCAGTGGTACAGTTATGACGACAGCACCGTTGAGCCCATTCCAGAGGCCGAGTTGTGTACGCGTGGAGCTTACATTCTCTTCTATCAGAAAAGAAGCACCATACCCCTGTGGTCTGCCAGCTCCTCAGTCACTGGTTTGTCCCTTTTCTCAGCTAGTTTGTTCATATCAATATGCATTGTTAGTAAATCATTATGCTATTAAAATTATGATATACATAAAAATAAATCAGTAAAATGTGATGTAATTGTAGGTTCCACCAGCTCATCCACCTCTGATCACTGGTTGGTCCGACTGAACGGAGGAGGAAGCAGCAGCGGCAGCATGGTCTCCAGTGTTCCCAGTCCGGCCCTTTTAGAACCAGTGTATGCTCCAGAGTCCCCAGAGTTACCAGTGTTTGGAGATGAACCTAACAGAGACGTAGAAGGAAGTAGGTATTTTGATTGCAAAATAAATATAAATGACTGACAAGTTTAATGTTTATGCAAATTTGCTGTATTTAATTTTGGATGCGTTTGCTATCAAAGTTTTAAACCACAGATTGTAGTGACAGTTTTTATGACCACTTTGCCTGGCAACAGCATTTGTCATTCTTTAATGTTTTTCCAATTTTCTCCTTTTTCAAGATTTTTAACAGTTTTTAGTTCTTGACTTAGACTAGGCCATTTTAACTCATGGGTGTGATTGTCATCTAAAGCAAACTCTAGTTGTCCTCCAGGAAGGTGAACCTGCCCCCCAGTTTTAGCTCGAATTTTAGCCACATCCCTCCCTCCATAAACACTTACCAGATGGGGGTTCCAGGCCTCCTGCACCAATAGATTCAGATATCAAGTCAAAAGTTTGGTCTGATCTGACTAGAGCACATGTTGTAATGATCAGAATTCAAACCAGACAACCAGTGTGAAAGCTTAGCACAGTTTGTTTCATTGAAAATGTACGATGGGCTTTACAATGGGCATCAATCACAACATAATGGTCACTAAAAATTCTTTGAGATAGGGCCAAGGATGAGGGAGGTCTTGTTGGTCTCCGTCTCCATCTAACAGTACACTCTCGCCTGTGTCCGACCTTTCAGACATTTCAGAAATGGCATAGACAATTCGCATTTGTAGTTTGAAGAACACCTGCTTGCTTCTGATGATTTCCTTTGGTATCAACACAAATTTGACAAATAGCTAACCAATGAGCGTTTGCGTTATATGATGAATGAGTAGAATTCAGAAGTAGGAAGAAAAATAAGGAATGGAGTAAAGTATAGATACCTAAAAAGTGTATTTAAGTACATTAACGAAGTATTTGTACTTTGTTACTTGACACCTTTGTCACAAACCTTCTCTTAATCCTAAGTCTAGGGAGAACCGCAAGGCTAGGTTCATGCCATCTTACAGTAGCACTGATGTTGTTCTCATTGGTCAGGACGTCCCAGAGAATAACTCCAACCAAGTAACGATGAGCCATGGTCAGGCAGAGGGTCAGTATTGTGAAGGCAATAGTAGGCAGGAAGAATAGGAGGACAAACCAGAAGCCATAGTCAGAGGCAAGGTCAGGTTCAGAGCCAGGTGATCAAAAGTTCAATAAAACACCAGAGGGAAATCCAGGAAAAGGTTGAGAAACAGTTCCAGGTGAATGATGTATGAAAAAAATCCCAGACTAGATCGCCCAGTCGTATGTTCTAAGCCATGAAGTTGGAGGCAATAATGACAATAAAATGTTTATTTTAATTCTAAATAATATTTCTTGAACACTTTATTTAGGTTACTTAAATCTAAGTGCTCCTGACAAAAGTAAAAAAAAAAAAAAAACATGTATGAGATATAAAGGGAGAAAAAAAATCCCCTCTGAGCATTAAGAGATGCAAACTTTGGCTTTCAGATTTGGAAAATCTCTTTGCAGAAATTCAATTTTACATTTGCATATCATCCATCCATGAATTGGTGCAATTCACTCATCAGAAGATGAGCTGCACTTTACAGTTTTTCCACAATTTTGTATTATTGGATCTCATAAGATCTTCAGAATACTTTTGCAAAGATTTAATAATTAGATATTATATTAAATATTGGTCAGCATGCTAACATTAAATGTTCTTTTACAGATGGGCCCAATCAGTTGGTGCAAAGGACCAAAGTTAGGAGTTCAAGCATGAGGTCACCTGCCAAGCCCAAGGACACCCTGAACAAAGTTCTTCCTATACGCTGGTCTTTCGGGTCAAAAGACCGCATCAAGCACTCTGTCCAGGTCCAGTCTGGAGAGCTTGTGGAGTACCTGGAGTCCGGACGGCGGCCCAGATGCACCAAAGACCCTATCATTAACCTGGTGGCCACTCCACCACAAAGGAGAGTCCTTGGAGTTGGCCAGGACTGCAGCTCGCCTAGTGGCAGCAGCCTTAGCTGTACAGACAGAGTCAGCTGTGATGGATGTTACTCTCCCAAAATCCCTGAGGGGCAAAGCCGAGCCGTTCTGGAGAGAAATGCAGGTCAAGAATATGGTAATGACAGAGAGGTTGTTTCAAGAGATGATGACTGTTTGAGGCAGGGTTCATTGTCTAAGAGATTGAGAATTAATCAGATTAGAGACCTGGACCTCCACCTCCAGAGAGGGGGCATTCTGGGTGGGCATGTAAGCCACAGCGCTCCTCAAAGTAGGGAGTCTACGCTTCGTAGAACCAACGCCCGGACAGCTGGCACTCCCAGGGGCCAAAAAGACTTGATACAGATGGCTAAAGAACCGGCAGCAGAGGAGGGACAGAGCCATGAAAATCTCTCGTCATTTTTCAAGCCAGTTTTCACAAAGAGAGACGTTCCTAGGTCCCCAGCCGAGGACCGAGAGAGGCGACCAAATGGCCATGAACACCTGGGAAAATTGGCAAGCAGTAATTTAGCCAAACTGTCTCTTTCCAACGGGACTCTTCCAGCAGCACCGCCAGAGGAGAGGAGAGGCAGTACGGTTCAAAAATGCGACAGCCATCACTGCAAAGTACAGTTTGCCAACAGAAAGGCTGGGAATCAGGAGCCTGTGGATATTCAGCGGGCTCACAGCTCCAGCAACATCCAGACCAAGCTGGACTTCACGTTTCGCAGATGTGCCTCCCTGCAGAGGAACGGAGAGGTGGGGATCCCTCAGGCGCACCGGGTCTTGTTGTCAGACAAGCCTGGCTACTCCACCCTGCAGCGGACGCGGTACAGCACCACCTCCCTCGGTAGGCAAAGAGCCGACCATAAACCCTGGTAAAGATGTTAGACAAATTGGAAAGATTCAACATGTAATTTGTGGAATTTTATACAGTTGCTGAGGACATTTTGGGTACCAAAACTTTTAATACCTTGTTTTTTATTTTAATAATAGAACAGAGAGTGTACTATAAGACTCTACAAGAACCAGATCTGGATCTGTGCAGGACTCAAATAATTAATCATTATTAATCTAAAGAACAATTTAGTAATGTATCCAGAACTGCACTAAATATAGATACTCTATGTTTTGCATTAAAGAAAAATTTCAAAGTCAATGTGTTTTATTCATAAAAACACCCCAACTGGTGTTTTTAGTCGTGGTTTTACCATCACCACTTCTCAAGCATCTCCCCTAAAGCATATTTTTATTGGATTATTAATACAAAAACAGAAAAAAGAATCAACAGATTAATCGATCAGCAAAATAATCATTAGTTGTAGCCCTGGATCTGTTGGGCTGTATATAAATATAAGTGTTATCCTTTTGTAAGATGGATGTCTTCAGCTATATCAGTTTAGTATTCTAGGAAACCTTTAGGCTTCTTTCGATTCTTATTTTAAATATTTTGGTATTTATAAAGGTTTTTCCACTCTGAAAAGGTTCTGACTTGGAAGATGAACAGACCCAAAGCTCACAGATAAAACTGTTTCTTTGTACATGTAGTTTCATTTAAACTCCTTCAAATTCAATCAATTGAAAAATACTTTATTAATCCTTAAGGGAAGTTAAGTATTTCAGTTTTTTTGTTTTTTTTATGAAGTTGTTGTGGAGGTTCATTAGCAGCCTTTCTTGCACCGGATCTGGAGAAACCTCTTACTGAAGACAATCTGTTTTCCATAATGTTTGTCACTTTATAAAGAATCCTTTTTTGTAAAATAATCTCCAGGGGAAATACTGGAAGATAGCCTTCTTTCTTTATTTATTCTTTTAAGTCTGCTCTTTACCTTCTTTTAGACAGCTGCACAGCTGTGTCCCCAGTCCAGCTTTTATTTATACTCCTCCACCAGCTCCACTTCTCCTTCCTTGATGTTGGCAAGATTCAACTTTTTCTTGTCTCTTATGAAATCTACAACAATTGCCTTGTTTTGTGCACATTTAGGATCTGATTGTTCCCACACAAAGCGTTTTTGCTCCCTATTCTCAGCTTGTTGTCCATCTTTGATGCAAAGTATTGCTGCATTCTTGCAGTGTTTCTGTAGGTTTTAAACAAAGTTATAAAAATTTCTAAATTTGATCACCTTATTTTTTGGCCTTGTCTATTGTTTGGCCTGTCTAAATTTTTCGACAGTTATAACATCGTAGATTATGCATTTTTTGATCCAATGGCTACTTTTTTTTTTTTTTTTGCCTACATCTTTCCAACACTCTTGCAGCAATCACCCCTTATGTTTTACTTCTGTTTTGGAGCTGTGGCGTTATGCTGATGTTAGCCTCAACTTACTTTTTCCAAAGATTCAGTCATTCCACACAAAACCATTAAAAGACAAATGTACTAGTTTCACTCCTCTCTGCTAGTAAGTGGAGACCGCAGTGAAGTTAGTTAGAAGTTGGATATTGGATATTCAAGTTCCGTGGATTTAGCGACACTTGGCTCACAGTCGATCCGATTCTTCGGCCAGCCGCACTCTGTTGCTCCCTCTTCTCATACACAGTGGTTCACTCTTGGACCGTCAACAAATTTCTGAACCAAACACTTTTGAGAAACAAAAATCAATAAATTCTTGTGGCACAATAAAGAAAATTAATGGTATATCATGCTACTAGATTACTTAAATGAGGCACACACACCTTAATGCAATTATCAGTCTTATTTTGTTTTTTATTAAAATGTATTTTTTTTTCCTCAAAAGGTTTCAGCTGACACACAGACTCAAGATTTGACAGAAATTTTTGCACTAGATCAGACAGATGAGCCACAGTCATTTTCCTTTCATTTGAAAGATTTTTTTAAAGATTTTTTATTTAGGTTTTTCTTCTATAGTTTTGAAGTCATGTGAACCATTGGCTCAAAATCTGGCTGAAAATGTTCCAATAGATGGGACAGATGAGGCACATGCAATTTTTTTATTTTAAGTTATTTTATATTTTTTGGCATTTTTTAAATTCAATATTTAGTGTAATTCACAAATTTGGAGGCAGTTCGTCACATGACCTGGAATATTTTGAAGAAAAATCACATTTTCTTATAAAAAATATTTTAAAATATACAAAAGCTTAAAATTGAATTAAAAAATTGTCTGCCTCATCAGGCTAAAGTAGAAGAACAATTTCACAAAGAATTTGAGACAGTGGGTCACATGACCTGGAAGCTAATGAAGAAATAGAAAAAATATATTATAAAAAATCTTTTAAAAATATTAAAAGGCTTAAAATCTGATAAAAATGAGTATGCCACATCAGTCTAATGTAATAGAAAAATTTTGAGGCAGTGGGTCGCATGACCTGGAAGCTTTTGAGGAATAATCATATTTTCTTATTATAAAAAATCTTTAAAAATATACAAAAGCTTAAAATGGAATAAAAATGAGTGTATCTCATAAGGCTAAAATAGAAGAACAATTTCACAAAGAATTTGTGTCAGTAGGTCACATTACCTTCCAGCTATTTAAAAAATATATATTTTTTTTTATCATAAAAAATATTTAAAAACATAAAAAGCCTTAAAATTGAATAAAATCTGTGTCAGTGTAAAAATCAGAAATAAGAACAATTTCACAAAGAATTTGACTCAATGAGTCACATGACCTGGAAGCTGTTTAAAAAAATATCAATTTTTTATTTAAAAAAAGTTTAGAAATATAAAAAGGCTTAAATTGGATTAAAAAATAAGTGTTCTCCTTCAGGCTACTGTAGTAGAATAATTTCAAACAGATATGGATTCAGTGGGGCACATGAACTGGAAGCTATTAAAGAAATATAAAAAAATAGTATTATAAACATCTTTAAAAACATAAAAAGGCTTAAAATAGAATAAAAATGAGTGTGCCTTATCAGGCTAATGCAGTAGAACAATTTCACACAGATTTGAAGTCAGGGGGTCACTTGACCTGGAAGCTATAGAAGAAAAGTCCCAAAAAGTCTTCACAAATACCTTTAAAAATTTGAAATAGCTTGAAATTGAATAAAAACTAGTGTGCCTTACTCCACCACAGCGTGTGGGAGGGGGAAGCAGCTGAGAGACGCTGCCTGAAATCAGGGTCCCTCAATCAGATCAACCCTGAGCGAGATCCCACTAACCCTGCAGAGCTTGAATATCCAATATCCAACTTCAAACCAACTTCACCACGGTTAAGTGGAGGCGTTTGCCAGGTCTGCTAATGCCACCGTTACCAAACATTTATCTTAACCAGAAGAAAAGCAGGAACCTCTGTGGGGCTTCTAGCCTCCTTTTCTTCCTCCCACCAATGCTTTGACTGATGTTCACCCTCATTTTGTTTCTGTAGCTTGAACCTTTGAAGTGAAGCCATCCCCAACTCTATTGCCATTCTACTTGGATCTTACAACACCTGGGGCCTGTTTCAATAAGGAAGTTCAACCAACTCTGAGTTAAAACTTGAACTCTGAGTTGACTTATCCTGAGATTGGAAACTCTGAGTTTTGGGTTTCAGAACAGCTGAAATTAGTTAGTTTAATCAACTCTAAATTGACTGACTCTGAGTTAAGCGCGTGCACCACAACTATAAAAAGCCATTATCAATGGAGCACAGATATCACGAGTCACCATGGCAACAGCGTCAGACAAAAAAAGGTGTGCATATTTCTCACCAGCAGAACTGGATGTGCTTATGCAAGCATATGCAGAATTTGAACATGTATTTTTTTTTAAAGCAACACGGCTGCAGCGGCGAAGGAGAGAGAGTTAGCTTGGGTGAAAATAGCTGCTCGAGTCAATGCGTAAATTTACATTTTAATTACTTTTATACAGTGTTGGGTGTAATGAATTAAGTTACTTACAGGTGCTGGTCATAAAATTAGAATATCATGAAAAAGTAGATTGATTTCAGTAATTCCATTTAAAAAGTGAAACTTGTATATTATATTCATACATTACATACAAACTCATATATTTCAGATGTTTATTTCGTTTAATTTTGATGATTACAAATGACAACAAATGAAAATCTCAAATTCATCATATCAGAAAATTAGAATATTACTGAAGACCAATAAAAACAAAGGATTTATAGAAATGTTGGCCAACTGAAAAGTATGAACATGAAAAGTATGAGCATGTAAAGCACTCAGTATTTAGTTGGGCCTCCTTTGGCCTGTATTACTGCAGCAATGCGGCGTGGCATGGAGTCGATCAGTCTGTGGCACTGCTCAGGTGTTATGATAGCCCAGGTTGCTCTAATAGTGGCTTTTAGCTCTTCTGAATTGTTGGGTCTGGTGTATTGCATCCTCTTCTTCACAATACCCCATAGATTTTCTATGGGGTTAAGGTCAGGAGAGTTTGCTGGCCAATTAAGAACAGGGATACCATGGTCCTTCAACCAGGTACTGGTAGCTTTGGCACTGTGTGCAGGTGCCAAGTCCTGTTGGAAAATGAAATCTGCATCTCCAAAAAGTTGGTCAGCTGCAGGAAGCATGAAGTGCTCTAAAACTTCCTGGTATGTGGCTGCGTTGACCCTGGACCTCAGAAAACACAATGGACCAACACCAGCAGATGACATGGCACCCCAAACCATCACTGACTGTGGAAACTTTACACTGGACTTCAAGCAACGTGGATGAAGTGCCTCTCTTCTTTTCCTCCAGACTCTGGGACCTTGATTTCCAAAGGAAATGCAAAATTTACTTTCATCAGAGAACATGACTTTGGACCACTCACCAGCAGTCCAGTCCTGTTTCTCTTTAGCCCAGGCAAGACGCTTCTGACGCTGTCTGTGGTTCAAGAGTGGCTTGACACAAGGAATGCGACAGCAGAAACCCATGTCTTTCATACGTCTGTGTGTGGTGGTTCTTGAAGCACTCACTCCAGCTGCAGTCCACTCTTTGTGAATCTCCCCCACATTTTTGAATAGGTTTTGTTTCACAATCCTCTCCAGGGTGCGGTTATCTCTCTTGCTTGTACACTTTTTTCGACCACATCTTTTCCTTCCCTTCGCCTCTCTATTAATGTGCTTGGACACTGAGCTCTGTGAACAGCCAGCCTCTTTAGCGATGACCTTTTGTGTCTTGCCCTCCTTGTGCAAGGTGTCGATGGTCGTCTTTTGGACAACTGTCAAGTCAGCAGTCTTCCCCATGATTGTGTAGCCTATAGAACTAGACTGAAAGACCATTTAAAGGCTTTTGCAGGTGGTTTGAGTTAATTAGCTGATTAGAGTGTGGCACCAGGGGCCATCAATTTTGAACCTTTTCACAATATTCTAATTTTCTGATATGATGAATTTGAGATTTTCATTTGTTGTCATTTGTAATCATCAAAATTAAACAAAATAAACATCTGAAATATATGAGTTTGTATGTAATGTATGAATATAATATACAAGTTTCACTTTTTAAATGGAATTACTGAAATCAATCTACTTTTTCATGATATTCTAATTTTATGACCAGCACCTGTAAGTCATATAAATACTGTAATTAAATTAAAGACTATAAAACAATAGTGGATTTAATATCAAATTTTAAAAGGTATATTTTGATTTGAACTTTCTCCCTCTAGTTACACACCTTGGTCAATTTAAGATTAATTCATGCAATTGAATATTGTTTATTTGAAAGCATTAGAAGTGCAGTTTCTTGTCTCTCCTTGTATTGTTCAAGTGGTTGAGGTTGATTTGGGATTTAGAAAGTAATTAATAAGTAAGTAAAACAAATTAGTAAGTAGACCAATACTTTCTAGAGACAGTAATTATTACATTAATCTAATTAGACTTGTTGAAGATAAAATTTGTAGTTAGTAATTAAGAACTATTTTAGAGTAACTTACCCAACTGTTATAATATCAGAGGTGAAACTGGAAGAACAGTATTTTATTAAACCTAATTTAGTTTTCATGGATAGGTGCAATCCTGCAGGCATCAAAAGAACATGGCAGCAGCTGAAAATGAAATATAAAAAAAAAATTCAAGCAGGTAAGCCTTGAGCACATCATGGGAGTAGAGTAGCTACCTGGCTTTACAAACAGGATCATCCATTAAAGTACATGCCATTTCATTCCCTTTGATGCGCTCTACGTGACTGAAATGTGTGCAATGAATACTGTATGTCCCCAAAGAATCAATGAGGTGTTTAAACACCACTTCCTCTTTAAAAAAGGGGAGGAGACCAAAATAAACTCTGGATTTTCTGAAGAAAACCTGCTCCCGACCAGGTTAGGTTCACAGAGTAAATTGCCATGGGAACTGACTCTGAGTATAAGTTACCTCTCTTTCAGAAACGGGCTTGACTTACTCTGCTTTCTCAGGTTTAACTTACCTCCCTTTCTGAAACAGAAAACCCAGAGTTTCCCTCATTTCAGGGTTAACAAACTCAGAGTTTTCACTTAACCTCCTTTCTGAAACAGGCCCCTGAGCTCAGTCTGAAGGGATTTCAACCCAGTTCCTATTGGTGCAAAATCCATTTGTGTCAACTTTAGCATCATAACCAGAAAGTAATGTTTATACATCTTGGACCCATCCAAATTTCAAAATTTTTGATTATTTCTCAGTAACAATAATACTTTAATTCTGTGAATGTATTTGTCAGGGTTTGGCTGTGGTTTGGAGGACCCAAATCCAGAGGCAGAGAGGCTGAGGAGATTTTTAGCAGTTTAATGGGGCAAAACAGTAAACAAAGGCAGGAATGCAAAAATCCAACTAATAATCAAAGCAAACCAGAACTATGGTGACATCTGGGGAAACCAAACACAAGGAGCCAGGGGCGAGGTAGATGGACAACATGGGAGGACAGCAAAGACAACAAAGAGTGAGAGCAGAGGGAGAGTATATATACCTGAGTGAGACAAAGGCAGGGCTAACGAGCTGACAAGGAGCGATTGATTTGAAAAATCAATCGCTACAATTAAAGAGTTGTAGCTATGATCTTTAAAACTGGCTTATATTGTTTGTGTACAGATTATATTCTGAAATGTGTTACTTTACTCATTAGAAGTCTAACACTCTCGATATTTAACTTGGAGCAGCTTAAAAGATTTTCAGTCACTGGCTAAACATGGTGTTAGTAACCATTCTGATGCTTTGTGTTGTTCAATATTAGTGTCCTATTCCTGTGTGCCATAGTAAACAAAATGGTCCCAACACTTTTACATGTTAATATTAACCTTTTATCATTAGGTTAAAGTTAACCTTTGAGTAGGTTTAAGTGAACTAAATAGTTTTTCTGGTTTCCTTGATATTTAGGTTTAACCTATTAGAAGATGAGAAAACTTATTATTGTTGAGTCATAATCTCAGAAAACTAAAGCACACAGTTCTAGTTGAGCTGATTTAACACCACTTGTTTATGTTTGTGATGGTAGGACAAAAAAGGCTTTTCCCCCCTTAGTATGTGAGGATGAATATGTGTTGTCCTCCAGCATATTGCCCAATAAGACCTTTTGTTGATCTAATATTCATTGTAAACCTTTTTTTCTTAATTCGTCTTTACCAGGGTTGCTAACAGATTTTCTCTGCCTTTGTTCAGCTTTTCATTGCGACATTATTGAAACTAATGATTGTTCTAAATTTTTTTCCCTCTACACAAGTGCCCATGTAACAGCCAAGAATGAGCGCTTGAAATAAAAGGACCTCTCCTCCTGGTTTTCCAAGCAGAGCACCCAGAGAAGCGCCCCCTGCTGGAGGCATCGCTTGGAACAGACATCTTTTTATTTAACCTTTTCATTGTTCTGTTCTAAGTTCTTACCTGTGTGTGTCTTACAACTAAATCTATGCAGAGTTTTAAAAGATATGATGGAAATAATTAGTTGTTTTTTTTCTCCACTCACATTGTGTTCTGTTACTTTGCCGTCTGTTGGGTTCAATAATTCACATTTGGGAAGTGAAGAGGGATCTTTGTTCAGACTTCCATGAGAATTCTCAGGAATGCAGGAAATTGTTGATAAGGAAGCTGGTACTGTATGTATTGACATGTAAGAAGCAAATGTTTGCTTTACATATTGGCCAGCCTATTAAAGACTCTAAAAAGCACTAACACTGGCCTTTAAATTAAAACACTGGACAAAAGTCGTCTGCTGTTAGAGAGTCCATGTTCCAATGATTTATTTATCAAATTAATATATAATTAATGCACCTTCATTTAAATGTTCCTACTCTTTTTTTTTTTTTTTTTAGCTCAATTTATATCCACGTTTTTGCTGGCAACTGACCTGTTGGATGAGCTTTTGAAGGGAACTACAGCTAGCAAAAGATGGAAGCAGTAGCACATGATATTTATATAAGGGTCTAATAAATGGAGATATAGAAGGCCGTTCTGTAAATCGATCTTCCTGCTATTAGATGTCAGCGGAAATTTTTACTCTTTAAAAAATGCAAATGTGTAAAAGAAATATACTCTCACATATCTATGTCTTTTTTTTTATTTTATTTTTATGCAAAATTGTTCACATTATTTCACCTTTATGGGAATGTTATGTGTTGGACCAACACAAAGTAGAGCTTAGATATTTAAGTCCTACCACAATGTCCAAGAAGTATCTAAATCTGGACTTTGACTGGGCCAATTTAACTGAGAATATATCTAAAGCATTCCCTTTCTCCAGTTCAGCCCAGCATTATGCACACCCCTGCTAGATTAGGGCTTAGGGGAAGGGTTTATCGTAAACGTCACAACTTTAAGTGGCCCAAGCAGAGTCCCAGCTTTAATCTGAGGGAAAGTTGCAGAGATTAACTCGATAACAAAACGTTTTCCAACCTGAAAGGCTCCATAATACCAGAGGAAACATTTTAAAAAGCTGATCAACCCTCAATTGAAGGGTGGGTTTTGTGTGATAACAAAAATATATATATATTATTTATTTAGAAGGCTATAAATAAGATGCCATTTTTATACCAAACATAAATGATAATTGGTTGTGTCTTCATATTCATATTCAGAACACATTTCACAGATCTGCGCAGGACAAACTCTACATGTCTGCTGTGTATGAACATGACTTTGGCAAACTGAAAACAGTATATGGTTTGGTTTTATTTTTTTAAGCGTTCTAAATTCTAATTCATGAGTTGCACCTCTGACACCTTCACTGTAAGCAGATTCTCCAACCTGAGCTTTGGATATTGGCAGCTCCTCGACACATGGATGGTTCTATAATGGGGTCAACAGGGGCCAGTGCCCTCTGTACTCAACTAACTAAATCACTATTTTAACATGTCAACTTATCATATGTACTGACAAGGAACCAAGTCCCATGAGTCTTTAGGACAAATTAAAATATGCTACCTTTATTTTAACAGTGATTTAAAAATGTAAGTTTACAGCTTCAGTTGTATTTAGCAATTATCTCAACCTTTTCAATGTTCTTTGGCTAAATTTATTTAAAACTTAAACATTTCCCTAATTTTGTTTGGAGTTTTTGTCATTTTTTTCTGTTTCCCCATGAAAAAACACTGAACCCCGCCGCCCTGTGTGGTATATTTAGATTTAAACCAGAAGAGAGCAAACCAACTTGTCTGCTTAGCTGATCAATGCTCTCTCTGCAGGTTTTTTTCAGTTTGTTTAGACAACAACATGCTGGGAGTTCAAAAGTTATGCCATAACCTTGGCAGATGAAGAACAGAATACTGTTTTGTGAGATGTTCAAATGCTGACATACTCGGCCGTAAACTAATCCTGCCCTCAGCAGCTCTGTAAACTTTTCACAAACCCTTGCCTTCCTTGGGCTACAGTACATAGGGTTGATTGTTTCCTTTCAAACCTCTGGTACCTTCACACATCAGCTGCATTCATACCCAGATTACATTACACACAGGCTGACAGGTTGATTAATTAGTTTCTTGTTGAAGGTAATAAAGATGTTTGGATTTTCATCTTGGAAAAAACTAAACATTTAACCTTCTGCTTTACTAATATGCACTACTTCATGTTGCTCTTTCCCACAGAATCGGGATCAAATTCATTAAAGTTTCATGGTTTTAATGCGTAACAATATGCAAAGGTTATGTGGTGTTAAAACTTTGGCTAGCCACTGTAAATACTGTCTCCAACCCTTCAACTGATGCTAACAGACGATTTTAAAGCAAACGTCTCATGAAATATAATCATAACATGACTATAGAAAAAGAAACACACACATACATGATACCCATTGAAAAGAGTTCCAGATAAATACGTAAACGAGTAAAAGCCATGGCAAAGGTTTTCCCAAAAGGACAGATTTAATCCACTGTAAGGATGCGTTAAATTTCCTGCAAGGAAATTGAAATTCTGTCTTGTAAAATACAACTACTGTATTACAAGAACTGGATACAGATGGTTCCTTTGGAGCAGTTTTATTTTCTGTGTGTGATTGAGACAAGGAATTATTATTCTGTGTTGCCGCATTCTTTCTGCAGCCATAAAAGGGGTTAATCATGCTTCATCACATTCACACCTTATGTTGGGGAGGTGCCCTGTGGTTGTCAGTTATGCAGCTGCATTTGTGATGCATATAAATCGCAGTCTTCAGTTACAGTTGCCTTTCTGTGTCTGTCAGCTTTTATTCAGGAGTGAAACTCAAAAGGGAACATAAATATGGTTCTGACTTATATTTCACCTTGATTTTTTATTATTTCACACACTTTGAAAATGTTTGTTCTTCTCTAAAGGAATATAAATCAGTCTTGGCTGTCAACTTTAATGTGTCTCATGACCGTTTATAAGAACAGAACAAAAGTGAGTCATGGTATTCAGTGTAAAGGGTGTGATGAGACACTATTTGGTTAGATTCTATTTTAGTATCTTTTTTTAAAAAGAAGGTGACATTTTCTACCTGATCTGTAACACTGTAAATAAAGTGCAAGATTAAAACTGTGTGTTTCAAACAAGAGGATAAGGTTGCAAAGTGGGACTAAACGGGACACTGTACTACAAGTTAAAAGACTGAAAATTAAACACAGCCTTTCTCACAAATATCTTCTTTGCAAGTTGTGGTTTGTGACTGTCTACGTACAGAATTATCTTTTTTACATGCCAATAATGCGCTCATGTGTGAATGCGTCAGAATTTGAATCAAGAAAATGAAAGTTGTTTAGTGTTAGTATAAAGGCTCCGTACAAATGTATACCGGTTACGTGAGATTTTGTAATAGTTTTGACCAAAAACAATCACAGCTGAAGTAAAAAAAAAAAAAATCTTTACTGCCAGTAAACTGGATATTACCCACTTTTGTCTGGTTTTATAACTCAGCTGAATTTTTCTAATCAAGGGTTGGCTGCCTTTAGTGGTATTTAGAAGAAACTCTGACACATTTATTTGCAGAGGGAATAGAAAAATGAGCTTTGATGTAGAGCCTATAAGCATCATCAACCAGAAAGTGTGTTTAAGCATATTAATATTCGCTTTGTGATAAACATCTCCAATGAGACATGCAGGAGAGAAGCTGCTGTATGTTTGCAGTGAAACAGGAAAAGCAATCAAATAAACTGAAGAAACTGGAAAATTTGTTAAACTCTTGTTAACTTGAAATAAAACTATTTTAGCGTAACTCATTATATATATGTACAGTGGGGCCAAAAAGTATTTAGTCAGCTACTGATTGTGCAAGTTCTCCTACTTAGAATGAGATAGTTTTATAATTTTCATAATGGATGCACTTCAACTATGAGAGACAAAATGAGGAAAAAAAATCCTGGAAATCACATTGTAGGATTTTTAAAGAATTTATTTGTAAATTATGGTGGAAATTAAGTATTTGGTCACCCACACACCAGCAAGATTTCTGGCTCTCACAGACCTGTAACTTCATCTTTAATAAGCTCTTCTTTCCTTTGCTCGCTATGGTGCCAAAAAAATCTACTGTAAATAGTTAATTAAATTACTATTATTATGTGGAACCCTTATTATGTTTTTTAAACGAAAAATAGCTGATGTTTAGGCACCATTTCTTGTTGTTATCCCCTATAAGAGAAATAACACCTGCTAATAATTATACCTGAACTTCCTCAAAAAGTCATCAAAAATTTAAAACAGTAATATCAACTAAATATTGGTAAAAAGGAAACCCTCACATTTTCTTTTTTGGTTGGCTGTGGCTAAGAATCAGAAATGTTGATGGCTTAAAGCCTTTATTTGCCCATTTTTCCAGTAGTCTTCAGAACTCCTGTCTGACTCAGAATATTTCGTTTTATAAAAGAAAAAAAAAGGTTTTTGTATTTTAGTATAGGCCTACATGATATTTTTTTTAAATTGGGATTTGTTTTGTAGCCTAATATTAATTGTAGTAACCGCAGCATTCTAGTGTGAATAAATTTTCTATTTTGTGCTTCAAGCACTCGCGGACTAGAAAACAGCCAATCAGAGAGAGAGAAGGCGGAACCTAAGGCAGAACAACCAATGAGAGTGGAGTTAAACAGCGCAGCACAGTTCCATGCACTTTTGCTGCCTCGCGGACGTTCATCCAGGTTACTCCATGGGAAAAGACGAGTGAAGGGAAGAGTGTGTTCTGTGGTTCTTGTCCTCACACAGAGGAGGGCTGGGAAGTCACACCTCTGTGGACTGCCATGTGATTGCCTGTGGAGGCCTTGGCTGAAAAGGGGGAGTCGGAGAGATCTTATAACTGTTTATTCACCAAGCTTGCGTTCATTTCTGTGGTCATCATGTCAAGATGAAACATGTACACTGGTTCGCAATGTCCAAAAACCAGGATCTTGGCATATGGCACAACAGTGATAAACCACTTGTTGATTCCTTTAACAAATTTTTTCAGTTTAGTAACTGCTATATTATTTAGGCAACCTGGCACTAAATTTATCTATGTTTTTTTGGATATAATTTTTATATTTACCATATTCCAGGGATGAGATTTAGACATTATATTTATAATTTTAATAATCCAAGCACGATAACTCTCCATCACTTCTCACTGCTGTTCTGTGTGCTAATAACATTTTCAAGGAGCTTCAACAGCAATGCCATATCAGATTTATAGTCCCACTGCAGAGATATTAGAATCCAGTCCTAAGGCTGATGTGTTTCTGGGTGTGAAAAGACATAGTCCGTCTCCGTGATGATGCTGGTCCATCATTTTAGATCATTACCGTAGCGTGGACTTGTTTACCAATCGGTCTGCTACCAAAATCAATCATAACTTCCACCCAAGGAGGAGGTACAGGCCACAGATGTTAAGACACGAAAGCCTCCTAACTATGCACGGAGGGTACCACCCCAAATTCAGTACCCTGAGACTGTATGGCAGCCGTAAGGAAGGAGGCCGAGGACTAATGAGCGTAAGAGCCACTATCCAGGATGAAACATCCAAGATCCTTAAGTACATCAAGGACAAGGCTCCAACAGATGACATCCTCACTGAATGTCTCAGACAATGGGGAACAGAAGATGAGGTACCAGAGACTCCATCATGGGAGGAAA